GGCACGTTCAACTGTCCTTACCTGGCACATGCCAAAGCCACCAGGGCAGCAGCGGCATTTTCCTTTTGTTTATGTGGGATGTGTTGGCCTGTGTCAGAAGTCTCCTCTAGCCAAGAGCACAGCAAAGTTTCAATTCCATTGAGGCAGTCAGCAGGCTCCTTGGTCAAGCTCAAGGGCTGACAGTCACGAAGGCAGTTCAATAGCACCTCAGCAGTTATGTTACAGAGAGAGGGGTCTGTTCTACTCTGGGACTGAATGAGGGGAAAGACCAGCAGGAGCCCCATCCGTGAGGTGAAGGGCGCTTGCTCGGGCTGCTGCAACAAGCCCTGGCGTTTGAGGAGGGCCAGTGTTTCTTCATCCCCCGAACTTTCCCTTTCATGCTGCTCTTCCAAGGCCAACTGGCGCTGGGCATTCCACAGTCCTCGCAAGGCATTCAGGCGGTATTCCAGCAAGCGGGCATAGGCGTTGCTCTGATTCCCACAAACAGAGCGCAAGCGTTCTGCTAATTCTGTTGGGTTCTTGGTCTCAAATGTTAAAATCTAGGGAAAGAAAGAACAGAGAAGTTGTTGGTATTTAAAAGGCATGTGTTGCTTTCCCCAGTCACTGCAGAAGCAAATATGCACCATGGTCTCTAAAAACAGTCCACACAAAAAATGATTTTAATTGCAACCAAATATGAAGACATGAACTTTACTATAAAGCTAGTTATTTCTTGATGACAAATCTCCCCCCAGCCATTTCTGCTAATGCGCCTATTAAAACTGGCATTAGATCTAATTGAGAGAAGCCACAACATAAAAGAAGAGAATTCAGCGTGAAAGCCAGAACTCATTCCAGTAATTCGTTTTTTAAACAGTGAAGCAGAAATCTTTATGAAAGGCTCTTGAGTTATAAATGTAAGTATCTTAACTGATTATTAGGTGGCTTGTCAGTGAAAACAGAACACAGTTTTATCTTTGTTCTTCAAAACTTAATATACTTACTACTAAATCATCGATTATTTACTGCTCTCTGATTCTGAAGAACACTGCATTCTTACTACTTTGAATCCATCATTCAGTTTATAGCATGGTATTTATCCAGTTCAGATTTGGAAAGGAATCACCACAACTTTTTTGCAAAAATAAACAATTATCAAAAAGTCCCCTCTAGATTTTCAGCTGGAAGACAATAAAACCATTAAATCTTCAATCAACTAAGAAAGAAAGCAGCTCTCAAGATGATGCAGAGCCATGATGTGTATAAATGTTACCAGGTGAGAATAAACAGACTATTGTAACCAAAGACTAACGGAGGGCAATCA